TTGATTAATAATTTTTTTTTAATAAAATTATATAAAAAAATACAGCTAATATATTAAATTTTATTATAATATAGCAAAATAATTATAAAACTTATTTTTAAAAACTAAATAAAACTAACTGTAAAAAATTAGTTTTAATAATATTTAAAAATATAATTAATACGATTTCTGGCAATTAGAATTAATAGATTTTAAAAATATATTAAAAATAATTATAAAATCGTTGAACAGTTACAGTTCGGTATTACTAGTTTAATAAAAACTATTAATAGATAAAGTTATCTAGATAAAATAAAAAGTATATTATAATATAAAATATTATTAGTATAAGGAATTTAAAAATAATCATTTATTTATTATTTTACTTAATTTACTATATATAACTAATATTTATAATAAAACTGTTTAATAATATTTTAATTAAATAATTAAAATAATAATAATTAATTAAAAAATTGTAATCTTATCTCCAAATAATTGAATTGATTTGAGTTCAAGTAATATAATATTTTAATTATCAATAATAATAAAAGTTATAAGATTTATCTTTTTGTAAAAATTATTGTTTTAGTTTAAAAAACATAAATAAATTACTAAAATACAAGTTAAAATAGTTTTTTAAAAATAGAAAACAATTAGTTTTATTAAAATCATAAAAAATAAACTCGATAAGTATTGTGATTATTATTTTATTATGTAATAAACTGTTAATTTATATTAAACATTTAATTAAATAAAAATTAAAAATATACTAATAAATAATAATTATTATTTCAAAATATTATTTTTCTTTTAATAGTTTCACTCTAATTGTTATATAATTTTATTTATATTTTATAAAATAATAAATTTATGTTAGTTTTACAGTTTAACATTAATATTGGAATAAAAATAGAAAACAATTAATTTTAATAAAATTTAAGTTTTATTAATTAATTTGTTTATTAACAAAACTATTATAATATTATAATTACAAATAACCTTTGAATAAACAAATAAACTAGAAAATAATTTTTATTATGAAACATTAATTATAATACAATTCATAATTAATTATTTTAAACCAAATAAACATAAATAAAAACTTTAAATTTAAATAAAAACATCTACATGATAATATAGTAATTTTTTGAATTATTAATAATAATCAATACATCAGTCAACAATAAGTTAATTATTACTATTGCATACATCATACAAATAGTTTATATACTGTATATATATATATATATGTAATTAATAATGTATTTAAAATATAAGATAATAAATTTAAAATATTCAAATAAAAATCTTTATTTTTATTTATAATGATTTTTTCAAACTAACTTTAAGATATATTATTTAAAAATTATTTTTAAAAAATAATCAATTGTAGAAACTAATTTAAAAATTCTAATTATAATATAAAAATTTAACTCAAAAAAATAAATATAGTTTTAGAAATTACTTTATAATTTTATTAAATTTGCATTAAAATAGACTTATTATAATAAAAAACTAATTATAAAATCTAAATTAAAATTATATATCAAAACATTTTTATTTAATATTAGATACAGTTTACATTGATATTGAAAAACAATAATAGTATAAAAAACATTATACATTAAATTATTATTACATTATTACGATTAAGCAGATTATTACATTATAATAGTAAATTTTGTTTAATTAAAAATTTATATAATTAAATATATTGAAATATTGTATTATATTATTTTTATTATATAGTTATATACAATAATTATAATTTCTAAATATAATATAAAATAATTAATACTGTATCTAAAACACTTTAAAAATAATTTTAAAATTTAGATTAAATAAAATCTATTTTTTTAATAAATTAAACAAAATAATTTAGCTCAGATAATTTGATTTAATTTTTAATCATATTTTTTGTTTTGTTAAATCAATGCGAATGATTATAATCACTCATCAGTCTATTATTATTATTGAATAAAATTTCAATTTTAATTAAATAACATTAAAAAATATTTTTTACAGTTAGTTGTATAGTATTCAATAAAAAATTATTTAAAGGCCATGACTTATATTAAACTGTAATAAATAAAATTATAATAAATTATAACAAAATATTATTTCACTGATTTTTAATATCTCTAATAATTAAAAAAATATAATTTTTATTTAATAAAAATAATAAATTTATGTAAGTTTTACAGTTTAACATAAATATTGCATAACATAAAAGTAGAAAGCAATTGCAGTTTTATTAAAATCATTAAAATGCTTTTAATTGTTGCTAATTTAGTCGTCTATTAATTTAACCAAATTTTAATAATATTATATTTACAAATAATATTTGAATAAACAAATTAAGTAAAAAAATAATTTTATTATTAAATTAGTAATTTTTTTACATTTATATATTTTTTAAAAATTAACATAAATAAAAATTTTAGATTAAAAATTATTAATAAATTATTATTAATCATATAAATGATAATGAAGTAAAAATTTTTTAATTTAAAAATTTATATAATTAAATATATTGAAATATTGTATTGAATTATTTTTATTAGATAGATATAGATTAATTATCCTTTTTAAATATAATATAAACTGATTAATACTGTATTTAAAAAAAAACTTTTAAAAAACTTAAAATTTAGTTTAAATGTTTGCAAACTTGAATTTTGCCAAACAATTTGACAATTAAGTCAGCATTTGAACAGTTATTATCAGTATTATCATTGTAACAGTTATATGATTTGTAACTCTATAGAAATTAATTATTTAAAAAAATTAAATTAAATAACAAAAAAAATAATAAATCAATATATAATTATATAGATTAATTTATATTTTACCCAAAATGCATTGCAAACAGTTTCACGTAGTTTTTATTCAGCACCCGGATCATATTGATTATTGATTGTTATGTAAGAAACTGTTATATTAATAAATTTAAAAAAAAAATTAAAATAATTTTAATCTTCTTATCTGCCTTTATCTAAACATATGATTTGTTAATATTATAATTAAAATAAAATTGAATTATTAATCATTATTTACAGTTTACTAATAATTTAGTAACTTACTAATTAACTTAATATTTATAAATTGATTATTTTAAAAAATAAAAATTAATTAAAAAAACAACAAAATAATAAGCAATTAAATGTTTCTAATAATAATAATAAATTTTTAAAATTTATTATTATTAAAAAACATCAAACTATATAATCTAAACAAAAAATATAATATTATTTAATTGTTTTTTTTAATGTAAATATAAGCTAATTAGTAAATTAACTTGTTAATTTTTTTATATTGAAATAAATTAAAATAAAAAATATATATCATTTACCATGAAATATTTTATTTATAATTTGTAATTAAATGAATTTTAATATTTTTAAAAAAAATTTATTACTGTAAGACAACTAGAAATAAATTATATTTAAGTTAATTTTTAAGTTTAAATGTACCTTCTAGGCAATTGATTTCAACTAAAAAGTAAAATTTTATTTAATCATTTTTATCTAAGATTATTATATTTTTAATTTAATAAACTTAAATATTATGTCTAGTTTTATATTATTTATATATATATATATATATATATATATTACATCCCTGAGCTTAAGTACAGTACTAATTATAAACTATTAGTTATCTTATATATATATATGTTTAATACTTATGATAATAATACAAACAGCAAAATAAAATACATTTAATACTTATTTGTTATAATATGAAAAAAATTACATAAATAAAATGTAATAGACATTTATCAATTTAATGATTTTTTATTTGTAAAATTTTATATAAATATAAGTTAAAAATGTACAAAATTTTAACATTTAATTAATTAATATTAGTTTATAGTATTATTTTTATTATATCTTTTTTCAAAAAAATACTGTATATAATTATATAAAATTAAAAATGAGTAAGTTAATTAAAATTATTTTATTTGATTATAATTTATTATTAATTTTGTTGTTGTATATTATTTTTAATTTCAAAATTTAAATTATCTAGATAAATTAATTTCCATTTTATTACTACTATTATTACTAACAATAACAACAGTGTCTATGATGACTATTGATCCATGTAAACCTAATCCATGTAAACATGGTACATTATTTAATTAAATTTTTAATATTAAGTTATTTAATAATCAAATTATTAATTTAAAAAATAATAAAAATTATCTATAAAAATTTTTTTAATACATTAATAGCTGGCCATTGTACAAAAATTGGTACATCTAGTTTTAGATGTAGGTGCCTAACTGGGTATGAGGGTAGTAGGTGTGAGCTTACTATTAATCATTGTGCACCTAATCCATGCTTAAACGGTTAGTTTTTTTTATATATATAAAAAATAATTATATTTTTAACCAAAAAAAAACTAACAAATTAAATTTAAATTTTTTATATATAAAAATAATTAATTTTTATAATACTTATTTAGGTGCTACATGTAATAATGATTTAACTGGTTATACATGTTTATGTCAACCAGATTACTATGGTATCAATTGTCAATTTTATAATAATATAACTACACCAGCAATAGATTAAATAATAATAATAATAATAATACGTAATAATATATATATATATATGTGTACAATATATAATGCATGTTTAATTATTTTTTGTATTTTTTTTAATTGTTAGTTTTTTTTGTTGAAAATACAATATATATTTAATTATAATTTTTTTCAAACTAATTAAATAACAACTAAACAACAAATATACTAAAACATTACTAAAAGTTTTAATATATATTTTTAAATATAAAAAAATAACTAAATTATATAAATATATTTAAATATTAACCATTAAATTTTGAATAATAAAATGCTTTTTATTTTTTAAAAATAAAATAACAAAAAATAACAAAATAATTTTTAGTATTAATTTTTTGACTAAGCTATTAGTATTATTATATAATTTATAATTATAAGCAGTTATTAAATAAAAACATATAGTTTTTATTTTTATTTTTAAAAAAAATCATTTTTGTTTAGTTGTATAAACAATGCGTCCATTCAATGGACAAATATTTCGTCGAGTAGTTAGTAATTTATTACCAGATTTTCCTTTTAAATTGCGAAAAGCATTCAACTATTTTGATATAAAAATAAAATTATTATAAATAATTAATAATTATTACAGTATTTATTTAGATTCAAACATGCTAAACATATTTTTGTTTTTTTTTTAAAGAAAATAGTTATTAAAATTATATTAATTAATTAATATATACATAGCTATAGTTAGATATACTGTATAGTTATTGTATATAATATGTAGATATAGTTTAAAAAATATATATATAGAGATATAGTTAGATATATAGTTATTGTATATTATATGTAGATATAGTTTAAAATATATATATATAGAGAGAGAGATATTGTTATAGATAAATTTTTTTTGGTTGACTAACCTGATCAATACTAATATTAATGGGTGTATGAATCACTAGCCAGATAACTGACTGATAGCAGGGAGGTATGGTTAGTGAGCCTTTATATATGAAAATTTCGTTTATGTTTTTCGGCATCAGTTTGTTTAGTTGTAAATTAATATTAGTCGGTATACTAATTGTTGACTTGTATTTAGTTATTTGTTTGACCGCTTTGGTCAACAATTTCAGGTTCAGGTTAGATGTTTGGCTAAGTTGGGCTAATACGCCCAACACTAACAGTCCATCCGGTTTAGTTAGTGAATTGTTTAGTGAACCATATTTTTGATTGTAGTGAACAAAATGTAACTATAAATTAATTAGTAATAGTAATAGTAATAGTTATAATAGTAATAGTTATAATAGTAATAGTAATAATAGTAATAGTTATAATAGTAATAGTTATAATAGTAATAGTTATAATAGTAATAGTTATAATAGTAATAGTTATAATAGTAATAGTTATAATAGTAATAGTTATAATAGTAATAGTTATAATAGTAATAGTTATAATAGTAATAGTTATAATAGTAATAGTTATAATAGTAATAGTTATAATAGTAATAGTTATAATAGTAATAGTTATAATAGTAATAGTTATAATAGTAATAGTTATAATAGTAATAGTTATAATAGTAATAGTTATAATAGTAATAGTTATAATAGTAATAGTTATAATAGTAATAGTTATAATAGTAATAGTTATAATAGTAATAGTTATAATAGTAATAGTTATAATAGTAATACCTCTAAGGCATAAAATCTATTATCAATACTATGTTCGCTGCCTTTGTTATCCTGAGTTCCCCAATGAAAGTGTAAGCCATTAAACATATAGTTTTGTGAATTGAAACTAATCGATGGTTTTAGTTCATCCTCCGTAACGGTTAGGTCGGCTGAATGGCCATTGTTTTCCAATTTATAGCTCCAATTATGATCAAAATAGTTAAACTTAATATTCAATAATTTGTATTTAGTTGATTGGGTATCAATGTTAATTGGAGTTTGTTTTTGGAGTCCACATTCAGCAAATTGCCTTGGCCAGTTAGCTTGATCTGTCAATCAAAAAAAATATTTTTATTAAAAATAAATATTTACAATATTAAAAAATAATTATATATTGTTTTTTTTATAAATGCATATATAGTTGATTACCATTGTAACTCCAGTCAGCGCATAATAAACTAGAAATTAGTGTTGAAAATATTATTAAATACTTTAACATTATAATAATAATAATAAATTTTTAAGTTAAAAAAATTTGTTTTAATTATATAGCAAGTCTATTATTACATACTATTTTTTTATATAATTTTTTTAGTAAATAAAGATTTTTATTTCAAAAAAACAAAAACGAAAACTAAATAATTTCTAAAATAGTTTAATTATCTTATACTGTATATGTATACGTTATATATTAATATATAAATATTTATTTTATAGTTCAATATTTTTAATTTTATCTTAATAATAATCACTATATTAATAATAACAATTGTATATTATTTTTTTTAGTAAAAATTAGACTCAAATGAAACTAGATAATATTATTAATATTAAATTTTTAAGTTTTTATATTAAGTAATTTAATTAATTTTAAAAAAATTAATTCAATGATTGTTTATAATTATGATTATTAATTGAACAATAAGTTTATATATCTAAACAAATATAGTGAATAAAATTTATACAGTAAATAACATCTAAAGTTTTATATAACATTAAAATTAAAAATATAATATTATAAATTAGTTAATTGTAAGTTTTCTTATAAACAATTTAAAAGATTATATGATTTAAAAATCAATTTTCTTAATAAAAAATATTATTAGTATTATTATTAGTATAGTATAAATCATAAAATTATAATTAGTTAAAAAAAATTAAATATATCTTCAAAAAATATATATTAATTTTTTTAAAATAAAAATTATCTAACTTTTAATTTTATATTTTAATATTTTCATTCGAATCTTTTTATGAATTATATATATATAATATTTTTATGTAACTATTATTTAACATTATAAATCTATTAAATTAAAAATATATAATTTTGTAATATATTATATGTATATATGAATTGCATAAAATTAAAAAATATCTACTAATTTCTACTAAAATTGCAAACAATTACAACAATAATGACTTAAGAAAAATTAAGAAATATAATATAAACTATAATATAAAAGATATTTATATATATATATAAACCATTTTTTATAAATTTTAAATAATTAATTAATTATGAGAACTAACTGTAAATACAATAAAACTCGATTTAAAATATAATTACTAAACTTTAATAACTGTAATAATTGATAATTAAATTTTTAAAAATTAAATAATGTAATTAAAAAATATATTAGTGAAATACTCATGAATATTATTTATTTTTTTTAAATAATAAAATACTTATAACTATATTATTTTATTTTAATGATGACTACAATTGTTTTATAAATTATTTATATAATATGACTTTAATTCATTTTTTGTAGTAAATTTAATTTTCTAATAAAATAAAACTAATAAACATTTATTATTAATATTATTATTATCTAAATATTAAAGTGTTTTTAAAAAGGTCAAGTATACATGATATAAGTGTTTTATAAGTTAAAAAAATTAAGCAATAGCTTTATAATAAAAATTACTTAAATATAAATAAACATTTAATAATTCAAACAGATTAGATTATGTTGAACTTATTATCATTAGTAAATGATTAAAAAAATATTTTTTAGTATAAATATAAGTGATATATTGAAAAAAATTATTATTTATTAAATAATTTTTTTTTGTTTGTGAAAAATTAAATTATCAAAATAATTATGTTTGGATTAAAATTATTATTATTTACACTTATTTTATTGACATCAACATCACTAACAATGGGCGATCCATGTTTGCCATTTAATCCATGCAAAAATAGTAAGTTTATTAATAGTTTTAGTTTTTTTTAATTAATTTTAGATTTTAAACTAAAATATTTTTTAATTAATTTTTTTAATTTTATTTTTAAATATTTAAATTATTATAGATAGTCATTGTAAAATAACTGGTAAAACTACATTTGTTTGTGAATGTCTACCTGGATATATAGGGCGTTATTGTGAACAAGTAGTTAATACTACTACTACTAGTGTAAATCTAAACCAGTGATTAAACAGTAATTATTTATAAATTATAACAAATAATTAAAATTAATTTTCAAAAAATTTAGTAATTACTAAATAAAAATTTATTCATCTAGGTAATTGTCATCATGAATAAATAATATTTGATTTTAATATAAATATTATATATGTTAATTAAAAAAAATGATACTGTACTAATAATTACTTGGTTACTTATTATAATTATATATTTTTTTACTAAATAAATATAAAAAGTTTGAATAAAAATATTTTATTTTAATATTTTTGTAAATTAACATTTTTAACTAAATATAACTTATATTATATAAGTGTGTAACAAATTAATTTAATAATTTTTTTGTAAACTGTAATAAATTATATATTTATTAAGTAATTAATTATAATAATATAGTAAATTAAAATTATTTTAATTGAACTAAACAGTATATAAATATTATATTATTGAACTTTTTATTAATAGTTTATATAAGTTTATAATATAATTTATTTATTATTTTGATTTATAGACTCTAAGATTACAAATAAATATAGTTTTTTATATGTTTATTTTGAAAATAAATTATATATTTTTTTCATATATTTTTTTATACTAATAGTAAAAAAGTTGTTTAATTGGGATTCATTTGACATCTCTAATTAATAGTTGACTTTTTTATAATAAAGTAATATTAATATTAATTAAAGTTAGTTACAGTTATTATTTTTTTAAATGTTAAAAATATTTACTTAAATTTTCTAGATTCAAAAAGTTGTACAATATATATATTTGTTTTAAAATTAAAATTATTTATTTATTTATTTAGATGAATGTTAAGTTGAATAGATAAAATACAAAATTTTTATAATTAATTAATTTAATAATTAATATTATTTAAATTTTTGTATATAAAATTAATATAATATATATATATGGAAATATTTACAGTTATAAAATTTTTTCTTAAAGATTTCAATTAAATTATCATTGTTAATAATAGACTGTATTTTTTATTTTAAGTAATATTATTTTGTGTTTTGTATTAACATTTTTTATTTATAGACTATGGTACACAGTTTTAAAAAAAAATATTTATAAATATTTTTTAATAAAAATAAAAGTATTAATGTTTAGCAATATTTTAAAAATATCAGTTTATAATTATGTAAATTAGAGGTGTAATTACTAAAACAATATATTAAATAAACTAAAAAATTATTATAGAAACATTTTGATTTAAACTAAAACAATTTTTTTTATTAATTTTGTATGTATGTTTTTATATGTTTATCATTTATTATAATGAAATAATTAAATTAATTTATAACAAAAATCTCTACTTGATAAAATAAACTACTATTAAATAAATTAATTATAAACCAAATCTAAATATATTAAAAATACATCTATTTTAGAAATTTATAAAATTTAAGCTAAAAAATAGTCTAATATTATTTAATTAATAAAATAACATATATATTCCAATATACAAGTATATTAATAATATTAATAATTTAAAAAACAGTAGAATAACTTAAAAATTTTAATTTTATTATTTAACCTAATTATTTTTTTAAATATTAGCCTGAACTCTATGTAAAATTTATTTATTATTGTGTGTTATTTTTTATTACCTCATATATAATGTACAATACTATTTATTAATTAACTAATTTCAATAATATGTAAATTGTAATGTATATTGTACTTGTAATTTTAATTAAATGTTTATCAAACATTAATTTAATAAAATAATTTAATAATAAAAATTTTATATTATTTTATTTGAACTACTAATAATATGTAATTTATATTAATATACAGTATAAATGACATTACATTTATATAATTAATTAGTTTACAAAAAATTAAGTCAATGTACTATAATATTATAGTGGAAAACAAGTAAAACAATTATAACTTTAATATTTAAAATTAAATAAAATTGTCTAAAATACTATTTTTTTATTTAAACAATAGATTTAATTTTTTAAAAATTATTAAATTAATTTATTTTTTATTAATAATTTATTTATTTAATTACTTATATTACAATTATTTTTATGACAAATCATTTTTTTGAACTCAAATTAATTTATTGATTATTTAGTAATAAAATTATTATTTATTTATTTTTTTGAAATGTTTAGCAATATTAGTAAATTTAATATATATAAAAAAATAATTAATGTAATAATTATGTAAATAAATATTTATTGATTGTGTTTTTTTAATAATACAACATAATATAAAAGTAAAAAAACATTTCTATTATAACAATAAAACTAAAAGTGAAAATAGTTATATAAAAATATATTAAAAATAATTAAAAAAAAGTGTGCAAATCTAACAAAAAAAAATGTTAAAATTTGTTTTACTAGCAATTGTTTTGTTATTGTTTGTTTCGATTGAAACTATAAGTTTGTATTTTTTAAAAATAAACATTAATGATTTTATTTAATTAAAAAATAATTATATTAAAATTTTTTTATTTTTAAATTTTAGATTGTGGTTTAATGCATTGTGATTGTTGTCCATGTAGTTGCAATCCAGGATGCCCACCTGAACAATAAACTATTTACAGTAAAAAATAAAACTAAAATAATAATTTTTGTTTAAAAATTTAATTATTATTCTCATATAATAATAATAATCTAAAATAACTATATTTTATAAAATAAATATAGTAATTATGATACAGTATATGTATTTTTGAAATAAAAAATTTACTTTGAAATAATAAATATTTTAATAAAAAATTGCTTTACTTACAAACAAACAAAAAATAAATAAATTTAGTAAAATAAAAACATTAACTAACTTTAGCTTGACTAAAAAAATATCATAATATTAAAAATTTTATTGTTTATAAATGTTTTTATGCTGACAAATAAAATTATTTATAAAATATTTTGTAGCTAAGCTAGCTTATCAAATTTTTTTAGACTAATTTGTATTTAAATGCATAAAATAAATTATTTTCATTAATATATTATTTAATTAATAATAAACTTAATTTGTTTAGTTTACAGATTAAAAAAATGTATTGTATCAATAGATTAAAAATTATATAATACTAATGATAATATAATTTAAAATATTGATTTTAAACAAAATTAATTATAGTTTATATAATTAAATACATTATGATCATACAGCAGTCCAATGCAATTTATATTGGCATTAATTTGATTTTTTTTAGATAATGTAAAAAACTTTTATTTGTTTAAATTTATTTGTCTCTATTTATTATATATAGAAAATTGTTTTAAAATTAATGATTTTTTAAATATTATAATGTAAATGATTTTGATGAAGTTAGAGTTAATAAAGGTTAATAATAACAATTAAAACTTATTTCGACAGTTAATTTAGTATAGATTTAAAATTATTAATAATAAAATAGAGTTAATTATATTTTTTTTAATTAATTAATATTATATAGATAAATAAAAAATAATTGTGTTTGTCGTTTTTCTAATTAGATATAAAAATTTAAAATAATATATTTTGTTTTGGTTTTAATTTACATTTTTATTATTATGTCAATCATATAACCTGTTAAGTTACTATAGATTTTAATATAATAATAATAATAAATTAGAGTTTATTATTATTTTTATTAATTAATGTTATATAAATAAATAAAATAAAATTTTTGTTGTCATCAATTTCCTCTAATTTGTTTTAAAAACTTTTATAAAAATATATTATATTTTGTTTTGTTTTTAATTTACAGTTTATTATTATGTCAATTATTTAACCAAATTAAATTAAAATTTTTAAACACTATATACTATTATTATAAGATTAACTAATAGTTGAACACATTAATATTAATTTAAATATCATAAAAAAGTAATTATTATAAATAATATGTAATTTTTATTAGTTATCTGAAAAATTAGTTTAATTATATTAATTTTAATTAAAATTTAAAAAGTAATTATTATTACTTTTTAAATTAATAATAATAACTTTAAAATATTAATTCATTAATTATATAAGAATTTTCTTTTTAGTAGAAATGTAAATAAAATTTTATATAATATATTAAATATATTAACTTAATAACTAAAATTACTAAAAATATATTACTGAAATATAAATAAAATGTAATATTTGAGGTTTCTAGTTATCCAATTATAAATTTGTTTTAAAAAATAAATAAATAAGTTATTATTATTTATGTTTTCAATTACAGTTTTTATTTTATGTTATTTTACTGTTATTTAAAATAAATAATTTATAATTTATTTATATATTTTTTAAAAACTATTTGTTAGTAGGTCACTCAGCAGACTTAGATATTAGATTTTTTTTATTTATTATTTAAAAAGTAATTTAATAAGGAAAGTAATAAAATTTTAAAAATTATAAATAAATTAAATATCGTTATTATTTTAGCACTTAATTAAATTAAACTTTAAATATTAGCATACTTATTTTTTATAATATTAGCAGTTACATCAATACTGTTTTAATTATTTATTTTTATAAATAACCATAAAATAACTAACTTGTAAGCAATATTTATCTAATTAAGGTAATTAATTATAATAAATAATAATAAAAATTAACATTATAAAACATATAATTTGTACTAATAATTTATATTTTTTGTTACCTTTGTTAAAATTAAGTTAAATATTAGTTATTTATTGTAACAATGATTATTAATTATTTTTTATATTAATCGAAACTGTAATTTATTTTAAATTTTTAATATTAATTTAATTTCTATAATAAATTATTTAACAATTAGCTAGATCATATAGCCCAATTATTTATTTTTTTGAACGAGATCTGCTTATTTTATTTGTCTTATCTGTATATCTATTAATTTATATAATAATGTTTTATTATGTTTGTTTTTTATTAAAAAAAACTTACATATAAAATTATTAGATTAAAAACATATTAGATAAAAATTACTATTGAAATATTTTTTACATTTATGATATTCACGATATATTATTATTGTTGGCCAATATTATTAGATTAGATATATGATTATAATTTAATTTTCTAAATTAAATAATTATCGTCTAGATTATTTTATCGTAAATTTATATAAAAAAAACTTATTTGTAAAAAACGAAAATTAAGTAAAAAATTAATAATACCAAATATTGCCTATAATAAAATACAAAAACAAAATATCGAAAATTAT